AAGAAATCCTAGGTAAGCACAGAAAACTCGCAGCATGCCTGGGTTTAGAATTAAAGAGACCTGACTTTGTAATATTAGCTCAGCCACTTACAAGTTTAGTTATGTGGCCATTGGTAAGTTAATCTACCTTGACTTTTAACGTTGAATTTCAGTCGCCTGCCAGATCCTTCATAAACTCTGCCATACCTGGTTTTTGAGTATTAAGTGGAATAACATAATAAAGTATCCAGCAAGTCTTGGTACCTGTTTAATAAGTGGAGATTTTTCCTTTGTTCAATAAAACTCTCACAGAAATTAAATTCTAGTTGGAAAAGACATACACATTACAAGGAAAAAAGAGAGAAAATTTAGGCAATGATAAGAGCTAAGGATAAATAAGGGATCAGGGGGTGCCTGGGTGGTTCAGTCAGTTAAGTGTCCGACTCTTGATCTCAGCTCAGGTCTTGATCTCAGGTTCATGAGTTCAAGCCCCACCTTGGGCTCCATGTTGGGCATGAAGCCTACTTAAAAATATATATAAATAAGAAGGGAGCAGGATTTAGGAGGCTGTTTTAGGTAGGATGGTCTAGGAACACCTCTCTGAGGAGATGATATTTCAGCAAAGAACTAACAAAGATTTGAGAAAAGGGGGGAGTCTTTGAGGCAGAGGGACACAGCTTGGTTTCAGGAACAGAAAGACCAGTGAATGAGGGGCAGATGAGTTATGAGAAGTAAGTTCATTCCAGACCGCATGAGCTTTGTTAACATGCCTAAAGACTAGATTTATTTGTGTTGTGTATGGGATGTAAGCACAACAGTGATGTGGTCTGATTTATATTTAAAAAAACATGCAAACCTATCATTCTGGCTGCTATGTGGAGAACAGACAGTAGGGAGGCAAAAGTAGAAGACAGTCTGCTAGAAGGCTGTTGAGCATTCGAGGCAGAGTGTGACTGTGCCTTAGATCAGGGCGGTCACTGGTGGGTGAGAAATCTCAAATGGCGAGAAATGGTTTGATTCAGGGTATATTATTAGATGCGTGTGCCGTCAAGCCTTGCTGACGAATTGTATTTGAGGGGTGCTAGGAAGGGAGGAATCACAGGTAGCTTCTAGGCATTTTGATCTGAGCACCTGGGTTTTAATAAGTGGTGTCATTAAGTGAGCTGAGATACTGGAGAAAAGAGCAAGTTGGGGGCAGGCAGCAAAATCCAGAGTTCTTCTTGAGACTTACTCATCTTGAGGCCTCTTAGCATCCAAGTGGACTTACAGAAAAAGGCAGATGGAAATACAAGCATGAAACTCAAGGCAGAGGTTTGAGCTGGAGATATAAATTGGCAGTCCTATTTGCCAGGGGGAGACTGGGGACCAAGAGGAAGAGAACCAGTGGCCAAGCACTGAGGTGCTCCCACTTTCAGAGGTCAAGATTTCTGACACACCTGTTCTTTTCTTCACAAGCAAGCCATTGTTTAATTGGAGGAGATCCTCAAGTAACTGTTTTTAATCTTCTTCCCTTCCCTCTTTCTTCAATATATGACCCAAAACTCTTTTTACCAATAAAAACAGTAAGGTAGGGCTGAGTGATGAAATATCTGAAGACATTAACATGCAGATTAATAATGAACGTTCTGGAGACAGAGGAATTGGTCTTAAATCCTGCCTCTGCTATTTACTAACAGAGTGGCCTTAGATATTTAATTTCTCTAACCTCAGTCCTTCCATCTACAATGGCCAGCGTGTATGTTATATCTATTATATATATTATTATATACCAAGCTGTGTTTTAAGTCTTTCACATGTATTAACCTATTTTAATCCTTAGAACAACCCATCGAGGTAGTTACTATTTTTATCTCACTTTATTTTTGAAGAAACTAAAGCCAGAGAGAGGTTTTTGTAATTTGCCATACGTTACACATCAGGGAGGTGGCAGACTAGATTTAAATCAAGGCAGCTGGTGTCTGGACCAGTGCTACGTTTCTCGTATCTAATTCACAGAGTTGTAGTAGTGATTAAATGAGATAACCCACTTAAAGTGCTTGGCACATAGAGCCTGGAACATCATCTGTGCATAATGTTTTCTTTGGAAGCAGCATAGTGTAGTGAAAGAGAACCAGATGAGAGGGCTTAGGGCTCCAGCCTCATTCTATAAGAGCAACTTATGTGACCACAAATAAGTTTCTTAGCCCCTCTGGACTTAAGTTTTGTAATCTGCAACATAAAATTTTTGTACTGTATGGTCTCTGAGGGCCCTTTCAATATTAAAACGCTATCTATGACTTCCCAATACAAATTATAGATACATTTGAATTTGGAAGGGGGGGTTCCACCTCACTTAGGGGGCTGGGGAATAAAGTACCTTAATAATTCCTTGGGCTGGTAACATTTCTGTGTTGCCCTTCTACTCTTGAAGGAGCTTGCTAGGAGGTAGTGAAACGGAATAGTTAAGAACCATGAGGTTTGGAGTAGGACCACCATTTATTGGAATCTTCATCACTTACTACCTTGGACAAGATGCTTGAGTTTCCATTTCATCTTCTGCAAACTAAGAAGAATAATACTGTGTACCTCATGGTAGTATTTCAAATATCCGGAAAGAAATTGCATGTAGAGAATTTAATACATAATAAGCAGTCAGTGCGTATTAGCTATTATAATATTACTCTAAGTGTTCCCAGAGCTGAGGGAACTTTTTTTTATTTTTTATTTTTTAGTTCTTTAAGTTCCATGTGACATGGAAGCTCCTGAGTAACCCTTTTCTAAGAAATGGAATTGGTGATTACATGGCGAGGCACTTGCTGGGAACTGAGGGCATGAGTCTGAGTGTTCTGACTGAGCAGTCATTCCTTCTACTCCTCTCTTTTACCAGGGATAGCAAGCATTTCTCTCGAATAGTTGTGTCTTGCCACGTCTTGCCCATAAGTGTAGTGAACCATTCATGGCCCATCTGCTCTAGGTTTGACTTGCGTCAGTCCTTGACGAACCTAAGGAGAGTTGTTTTCCTCACACACAGACCGGGCCTGAGTTTCTGGAGAAATTTATTTATTTTTTTCTTTTACCCTGATCAAAGGAAAAGTAGTAGTCAAGAATCCTTTGGCCGTGATTGCAAAAACTCAACTCAAAATAGGTTAGAGGAGAGGAAAAGGAGGAAGCAGGAATGACTGAGACCGTATAACCAAGAAGGTAAGGCCTGCTGCTGAGTGGGTTTGAACACAGAGTTGTAAACCCTCTCATGATTCCCCACATCTTGCTCTACGTTGGCTTTATTCTCAGTTGTTCTCCCTGTAGCAGTGCCAAGCCTACAAACAGCCTTATAGCCATGACCTCAGGGAAAGACTCTTCTTCAGCGTGTCTGTCATGTCGGAAAACAGTTGACCCAACTGGGGGGACACACACACACACACACACACACACACACACACACACACACACACACACACACACTCTTGGTGTAGGGGAGTCTGATGCCCTTAAATGGCATTATTTTGCATTCCATGGCCAGGTTGGTAGTCATGTGATAGACATCCCCACCAAATCACATAGAATTTTTCCAAAAGGAAAAAAACTAGGCAAGCAAAAAAGTAAACAATAGCAATTTTAGATTAAGTGATAGGAGCATCCGCATTGCTGTCACCATTGTTGATGTGAAGGAGCTATCAAGACATCTTCTGACCTTGGGGAACTTGGCTTAGCCTAGCCAGCTTTGAGACAGTTTAAATCATACAGGGTGATGACTCTCTGATTTCCATTTTCTTCTCTCTCTCTCCATGCCCTCCCCCTTAATTATAGCTATTAATTAATACTCCCCAAAGCTGATTCTTCCCTTTTTCATTTTACCTGCACGCTGATAGTTTAGCATAGTAGTTAGCAGTGTGGACTTAAGGATCAGACTGCCTGGGTTTCAATCCTGTCTTTCTCATTTGCTCATTTTGAAATCATAAGTTTACTTTATACCTCTTTTCTCGTCTATAAAAGGAAGACAGTAGCTACCTTCCTGAGTTGTCTTGAGTAGATAGACTGTGGAAGGTGACTGGCTTAATATCTAGTCAAATGGTCAGTAATAACAGATGTCATTGTTGTTGTTATTTCCAGCTCTACAGCTTTGAGGCAGCCTATCTGTTCTTTTGTCAAGAATAGGAAAGCTGAGGGCAATTGGGAGACTATCAAAAAGCACAAGATTTGGGCATCTCAGGATAGAGAGTTGAAGCCAAATCTGAAGGAGGCCTTTGGAACTCTAGCTGGAAGACCTAACTCCGATAACAATCTTATTTTTACAATTTACTAGTTAAATGGTACATTCTTATTGGCTTTTACTTGCTGAACGACAATGGACAATTAATCTCTCTAGGCTTCTTTTTATTCTTTTGGAAAATGAATATTTTTGGATAGGATTATCCCTTCCATGATCATCATTGTCTGATCCTTAATTGTTTAAGTAAAAATGAATATTGGAAAGCGTTCTGTAGTCGTGTGTGTGTGTGCGCACGCACACACGCGCACGTGCATGTGTGTGAGAGGAAGAGAAATAGTGAGTTAGTTTATATCATGATAAACCGAAAAGATTTACTTGTTTATTGGGTGTAGCATGTTACGTACCTGGTTTCTTCATAAGAGATTATCATATCCCCTTTCATACCCCACTGTCTAGATCATTTCTAAGTATTTGTTGATCCTATCTCACATCTCTTTTGGACTTGTCAAGGAAAGATTTTTAGACATTATAATACATATTTTATAATACTTGTCGTAGAGCCCGAAAACTTGGTTGGGGATTTTGTTCCACTACTTACTTTGCAACATTACCTTGGGCAAGTTACATTCCCTCTCACGTGCCTCATTTCCATGTCTGTCTAATGAGGCATTTCTTCTATTTAACCTGTAAGTCCTTTCCTAACAGTCTGTGACTCTGTAACTATCACAGCATAGGTTGTGGCAGGAGTAGCTGGATTCCAAAGGGAAAACTTGGTATCACCAGTCCCTTTGAAACCTATTTTTTTATCTGTCGCCCATTATGTTTGCTGCAGGATTTCGGCTGAATGCCTCTTCTTGGCCCATGTTCCTTTTGAAGACACTAAATGGAGCAGAGATGGCTCCCATCAGGATTTTCCACAAGGTATGGTGTCCTTCAGATATCACCACTGCAGACTGCTAAGGTCAAATGCTTACATTCTTTCATTTACTAAGCCCCTGATGTCTACTTTATATTTATGGCCTGAGGATGCCTTCTCAGAAACTAGTTCAGTGGAAGGATTTTTTAGTACCTTATGAAGCAGCAAGGATCCCTGGAGGAAATTACACCGTAAGTTAGGATTTCTGGTTTTTGGGTCCCAGCTCCACCATTAATAAGCTATGTCCTTTTGTCCTCATCTGTGAGTGGGAGTCTGTCTACCTCACAGGATCGTTAGGAAGTTAAAATGTGTTTATCAATAAAACATAAAATATGATATAAATCTAATGGAGCTCTTCTTATCCTAGATCTTGGAATTCCCTAAGTTCCATATGCTAAACAGAGAGAAAGGAAGGAGACTACTTTTTGAGTGTCTACAGGATGTTTGGAGTTGATATACACCATCTCATTTAATATTCACAGTTAACTTTCTGAAGCAAGAATTATGATTTCCACTTAACAGCTAAGAAAATGAATACTTTTGAATAAAGAACTTGCCCAAGATCACATGGCTAGTGAGTGGTGGAACAGGGATGTAGAACCCGTATCCATCCTTTCTTGTCTCCCAAAGGATGAGGCAATCGGTCTGCTCTCAGCTGAACTCTTTTAATGAGGTCAAGGGGCCTGAACTAGAGTTGCCTATGCTGCTAGTTAAGTCTAAACCCTAAGAGCACCTTGGTTCCCAGAATATAGTGTACTGGGCAACCTAGAAACCCTTTCGCTATAGAATATATCAAATTGGTGGTGGGGCGGGGGGAGGGAGACCCACAAATATTCTTTTAAATGCTTTGCTGAGCTACCAGAAAGTTAGAAAACTCTCCAGAGGCCAGAATGAAGAATGAGAACCAGTGTTAAGTGTGACGTACCGTACCTGCAGGTCCCTTAAGGGGCTTTGCCAGTCTCACTTTCTAAGGATCTTGTCTTTTAGCAGCCGTGGTAGGATAGATGAGCACTTGGGCCTGCGCAGGGCAGTGAAACAGGCCCTGAGACTGCCACGCAGACAAGTAGGTCAGGTCCCTCAGGTGGTCCCTCCTAGTGAAAAGACTGTTGATACTGCTGAGGAAGGTGTCTGCCTCAGCTCTGCAGTGGGATGCAAATGGGAGTCACCGCCCCTGATAAATCAGCCTAACCCGTGCAAGTCCAGGTACACCGCATGTGTTGTCTAGGAACTTCAGGGCTGTATGGAGCTCTTTCTGAGTGCCTGCAGAAGCAAACCCAAAGTCTCTCTAGAGGGTTTGGTTGCTTTCAACACAATGCCATAGGAGTCCCAAAGGCGAAGCACCACTGAAGAGGAGTATTCTGTTCAGAATTCCAGAGCCCTCAAATACTCTCAGAATAAACCCAACATGATGAGACATCAGTGGACCCAACAAAACAGGCTATAACCAAAGGGCTTCCAGATAATAGAAATAGCAGGTAGAGATTATAAATTAAGTATTTGAAAATGATTAAGGAACAAAAAGAAGGAATTTAAAAGTTGAGAGATGTACAAAACCCTATTTTTAAAAATATTTTAAAAAATTGAAATGAAACTTAATGGTTAAAAGTACAAATTAGTAGGTAAGTATATAAGAAACTAGGACTTAGATAAAGAAGAATTAACTGAAAGATGTATGTAAGGAATTTCCCCAGAATGCAGCACAGAGAGATAAAGAGGTAGAAAACATTAAGGAAAAGAGACCAGGAGAATAATACTAGAAGGTCCAACGTATGCTGAACACAAACTTCGGAAAGACTAATTAGAAAGAATAGAGAATAGGAATATTCAAGAAGGTATTAACAGAATTTTCCAGAGTGTGCAATAAAGGCAAATACATACCTTAAAACATCACAGTATTAATTGAAGTCCAGAGAAAAGATCCGAGCAAGTAATCACACAGGGTACCTTCCAGAGGGTTACAGGTAGCGTGACAGCACATTTCCAGACAGCAACCATACAAACCAAAAGATCATAGAACAGTATCTTCCAAGTACTGAGAATAAAATTATTGTCCACCTAGAATTTTATATCTAGCTGTACTATTATTTCAGAACAAATACAAAACCAAGACATTTCCAAACAAACTAGTACAAGTAGATACTTTCAGCCACTGAAAGAACAACTGAAAAATCTATTTCAGGAGGAGGATCATTGAACCCAGAAAATAAGAATGGACGTAATAGTGATGAGGAAAGATTGCTTAACATGTGGGTAAAACTAAGCAAGCAGTGCCTGTAACTGTATAAACTAAGTATAATAACAATGTGGAACTAAATTATCAAATACCTATTAACTCAGGAGTAGGTAAATTTCAGGAGTAGAGATTGTTTGGGACTGTACATATAATGAGTTTTAGACTGAATTATGTCAACTACACAGCTACAGTCTCAAGGCAATCTGCTAAAAGATTCTAAATAGAATGGTTAACGTCTGAATCAATGGAGGGGGTAAAAAGGGAAGAAAATTCAATTTACTGTAAAGGAGAAAAAGGAACCCAGAAAAATCAAGTTACATAGAAATGTAGGCAAGATAATTGTAATAAGTTTAAATATCTCAGTTATCGCAAAAAAGGTTAAACTCATCAGTTCAGTCAGATACCCATTAGATTGTTTTTAAATCTAGCTCTATGCTGTTTATAAGAGACCCTGCTAAAATATACACCAAATGTTGAAAGGGAAGGAAAAGACACACCAGGCAAATCTTTGTCAAGAAAGCCTATGCTAACTATACTGACATTAGGCAAAGGAGACTTTGTCGCTGAAAGACTTCATTAAAGAGGCCACAATCTAATAAAAAAAAGTACATGCTCCTGAAAAACAGTGCCTCAGATATGAAAGCAAAATTTGACAGAATTTAGACAAATTGGAAAATCCACAGTTGTTGACGAATATTTCAGTATATGTCACTCAGTAATTGATCAATAAAGCAGACAAGGAAATTGGTGTATCAGTCAGCATAAGCTACTCGGTATTAAATCAGCTGATAAGTTTTTTGTTTTTTGGTTTTTTTTTTAGGTTTATTTGTTTTGAGAGAGAGAGTGCATGTGTGTGCCACTTGTGAGCCAGGGAGGGGCAGAAAGAGAAGGAGAGAGAGTCCAAGCAGGCCCTATGCTGTCAGTGCAGAACCCGATGTGGGACTTGATCTCACAGTGAGATCATGACCTGAGCTGAAATCAAGAGTCAGACACTTAACCGACTGAGCCACCCAGGGGCCCCAAGCTGATCAGTTTTTAAGAGTCAGTTGCAGGGGCGCCTGGGTGACTCAGTCGGTTAAGCATCTGACTTAGGCTCAGGTGGTGATCTCACAGTTTATGGGTTTGAGCCCTGCGTCAGGCTCTATGCTGACAGCTCGGAGCCTGGAGCCTGCTTCGGATTCTGTGTCTCCCTTGCTCTCTGCCCCTCCCTCGTTCACACTGTCTCTGTCTCTGTGTCTCTCTCTGTCTCAGAAATAAATAAACATTAAATTTTTTAAAGAAAAATAAATAAATCAGTTGCATTTCTATTTAACAGCAGCAAGTGGCTTGAAAATAAAAATTTTTTTTTAATTTTTTTTCTTTTAATGTTTATTTATTTTTGAGAGAGAGACAGAGCACGAGCAGGGGAGGAGCAGAGAGAAAAGGAGACACAGAATCCGAAACAGGCTCCAGGCTCTGAGCTGTCAGCACAAAGCCCGACACGGGGCTCGAACTCACAAACCATGAGATCATGACCTGAGCCGAAGCCAGACGCTCGACCGACTGAGCCACCCAGGCGCCCCTAAAAATTTTTAAAGATAGCACTTATGATAACAATAAAATAATATGCCTAGAAAATGTTAATAAAAGCATGAGATACTTATAAAGAAAAATTAAAAATCTATATTAAAGAAAAAATCTACATTAAAGAATACTTAAATGGAAAAGACTATTATGTTCATGGATGAGAAGGCTAAATATCATTTATACAAAGGTTATTTCTTTCTAAATTAATCTATAAATTCATTGGGATTCCACTCAAAATCCAAAGAGGGGTTTTCTCTGGACTTGAAAAGCTGATTCCATGGTATCAGCTTTCATACAAAAGATCATATGAAATTCACAATGAAAGATCAGGGAGAAAGAATAGCCCAAAACATACTAAAAAATGACAAAGTAGGGGACTTTTTCTACCAGATACCCATTTAATAAGACCATGTTAGTAAGACCCTGTTATTGGTGCAGGATCAGAGTGTAAGACCAGAGAAAGAATAGAGTGTATAACACTTTTTGAGAACTTTATCTTTGCAACTACACTGCAGATCCACACCGTTGGACAGAGTGAGCAATGTTACGAGCACTTAGGAGGGCAATTTGACAATACTTAATAAAGCATAGGATGTATATATCTGTCCTATAATCCAGCAATTCTACTCCTACTTACATACCCTAAAGTAACCCTTCCACATGTGTGCAAAAGAACAAGTGCAAGAATGGTCACTGAAACTCTTGAAACAGTGAACAATTAGAAATGATCTTAAATGTCCATCTGAATAGAATGAATATGTTGTGATATATACATATAATGGAATATGAACTATTAGCACTTGAAATATATTGGAGCTAAATTTATCAACATAGGTAAATTTCAAAAGTGTAACATTAACCACACACAAAAAAGTTGTAGAATGATATGTATGGTATAATACCATTTATATAAAATTTTGAAGTATGCAAATGGATGCATATATATATATATACACACACATATATGTATATATACACCCACACACATACATACATAGTAAAGTATGAAAACATGCATGAGGAATGGGCACAAAAGGGATTCAGCTTTAAAAATGTTACCTTTTATTTCTTAAAAAAAATCAGAATCAAAATGGTAAAATGTCAGGACATAAAAAGTAATACTTTGGTATACTCTGAAATTCATTTAAAAGAAAGACTACACTTTCATTATAAATCTTCGGTAGCAGCCAGTGACTTTTTCATCGTTCCAAATTTGGTAGCAGTCTCTTGGGGCACACAGACTCTGTGTTTGCATCTAGGTCTGTATGTTTCTGTTTCTCATCTAGGAACCACCCTCGCCTTCCCACAACTTCTTCAAAATGGGAATGAAGCTAGAAGCTGTGGACAGGAAGAACCCTCATTTCATTTGCCCAGCCACTATTGGGGAGGTGCGGGGCTCAGAGGTGCTTGTCACTTTTGATGGGTGGCGAGGGGCCTTTGACTACTGGTGCCGCTTCGACTCCCGGGACATCTTCCCTGTGGGCTGGTGTTCCCTGACTGGAGACAACCTACAGCCACCTGGCACTAAAGGTAAAGGCTCATCCATGAGCTCTTGAAATCAGGACCCAGGTTGGTAAGGGAGGTTACCTGGGTCTCCCACGGTCAGCGTATCTTCAGTAAACCTCACTAGTAGGCAGCTTAGGTAAACACCAGTGTCTACCCGAGAGCAATCAGGAACAATAAGAATTTAATGTCCAAGGAAGCTAGATGTGGAGTTTGGGATAAAGTAAAAGTTCCTTACTCTAAATATCGTAGTTTATTCTCAGGCAACTAGCTTTTCCTCCCTGTCACTTTTGTTCCTAACCTGTTTCAGAGTTTGAGTAGCATTGATTGTCTCAAGGTGCACCTCTCTCTCGGGTCCCAGGGGCTTTGCATATGAGCTGGAGTAGCAGTGTGGCATCAGGATACTGGAGAAGCACCGTAGCACAATGGGAAAAGCATGAACTTTGAAGCAGAGTAGACTTAGGTTTGAGTTCCAGCTCTGCCTTTTTTTTTTTTTTTTTTTTTTTTTTTTTTTTTTGCCAGCCGTGTGGCTTTGGGCAGTTAGTTTGCCTCTCTAAACCTCAAATTCTCTGTCTGTAAAAGAACACCTGCTTCATAAAGTTATTGTGAGGAATAAATGAGATGATATGGGTAAAGTGCTTACATAATATCTGGCAAATAGCAAGTGCTAAACAAATGTTTTTATTATATTACTGCTGCTCTTATAGTTATTACATCCTGTATTATATTTATTATAATTACTAGATAATATATAATATGCCACATTATTGGTGTTATAATGCTATTATTATAAAAATAACCACTACTAATGGAAGAGTATATATAAAATGCTAGAATAGTGCCACAGAGTAATTGAACAGTAAATTATGTTTCTAATGATGATGGTGTTGGACATCATCCAGAATAGAATTTGAGATAGCTGCTCTAAATAGAAGAAATACTAAGAATCTCATCCCTGAAGTCTAAAAGTGCTAGTTAATCTGAAGGCGTAGAAAGTCACCCTTCCTATTGTCTGTCAGTCCCTTTTCTAAACCTCTGTCAGTTTCATTCATTCAGTTAGCCTGGTATTTATTGAGCACTTAACTGTGAGCCAAGCTGAAGATACAGCAGTTACAAGGATGAAAAACACTTCTGCCCTCCTGGAACTTCTATTCTAGTGGGATGAGATAGGTGATAAACATCGAAATCACGAAATAAACAAGATGATTTCAGATCCAGTTTCTCCTCAGGAATAAAGTATAATGAAATAGTGGCAGCAAAGGTGGACTGAGAAGGGGTTTTTTGTTTAACAGCTTTATCAAAGTGTAAGACAAGTGAAACAGACGGCACATATTTAAAATATACCATTTGAAAAGTGTTGACATATGTGTGCATCCATGAAACCATGACCCACAATCAAGATAATGAACATATCCATCATGCTCAAAAGTTTCCTCATTCCTCTTGGCAGAGGGAGGAGATTATTTTTTTTAATGTTTACTTATTTTTGAGAGAGAGAGAGCGAGCATGCACAAGTGGGGGAGGGGCAGAGAGAGAGAGAGACACACACACACACACACACACACACACACACACACACACACACACACACACAGACTACGAAGCAGGCTCCAGGCTGTGAGCTGTCAGCACAGAGCCCATTGCGGGACTTAAACCCACATACTGTAAGATCATGACCTGAGCCAAAGTCAGATGCTCAACCCACTGAACCACCCAGGCACCCTGGGAGGAGATTGTTTAGATACAATTTCTTTTCAGGAAAATTTGTCTGAAAAGGTGATATTTGAATTGAATGATCAGAAAGAATTCCAAGCAAGGACAGGGCATACATATCATGGTGCTGAGATGTGCGTGAGCATATGTGTTTCAGGGGCAGAGAGAAGACTGCTCCTACTCTAGAGTGCTGTGTGGGAAGGAAAGTGGCAAAACCCTGTAGGACCTGGAAAGCCAGAGTGAGAATTTGGATTTTATTCTAAACATGTGGGGAATTGTTAGAGGGTACTATGTAGGGGAGTGACAAGATCCGATTTACTTTTAAAAAGTCACTTGCGCTTGTATCCAGAATTCAACTCAACAATAAAAAAGGCAACCCAATTAAAAAATGGGCAAAGGGTTTGAATGGACATTTCTGCAGAGAAGATAATATAAAAGGCCCATAAGCACTTGAAAAGATACTCCCATGTCGTTAGCCATTAGGGAAATGCTAATCAAAGCCACAAGGAGATACCGGTTCACATCCATGGGTAAGATATAATCAAAAGGCAATAACAAGTGTTGGTGAGAATGTGGAGGAATTGGATACATGGCTAGTGAGATTGTAAAATGGTGCAGCCACTTTGGAAACAGTTTGGAAGTTACTCAAAGTATTAAGCATGGAGGTACCCGTGACCTAGCAATTCCACTCATGGGTATACACCCAAAAGAACGGAAAACATGTCCATAGAAAAATGTATCATGTATGTTCATGACAACATTATTCATTGTAGCCAAAAAGTGGAAATAGCCCAAGTGTTCATCATGTGATGAACAGATAAATAAAAGGTGGTATATTCATATGAAATCTTGTTTGGCAATAAAAAGGAATGAGTCCTGAAACAGACTACACCACAGATGTACCTTAAAAGACATGAGACTGAGAGGAAAAAGCCAATCACAAAAGCCCACACGTGGCATGATTGCTTTTGTATGGGCTATCCAGAAGAGGCAAAAACACAGAGACAAAAGTAAATTAGTGGTTGTCAGTAGCACGGGGGAGAGGGAAATGGGAGGTCACTTTGATCAATATGGTAAATATTCTCTGCAATTAGATCGGGAAGGTGTTTGCACATCTGTGTATCTACTAAAAACACCGAATTGTACACATTAAAGGGGTGAAGCTTATGGCATATGAAGTATATATCAATAAAGCTGTTATTTGAAAACTCCCTCGGACTGCTTATGGAGAATGGATTGTGCTGTGCTGACTGTGGATGAGGAAGAGGGGAGAGTTGCTGGGATTAGGTTGGTGGCACTGGGGTGGGGAAAACTTGAGATGGGGCAGGGCAGCGGTCAGACACACTTCTTGCCTCAGGAAAGTGCTATTCCTCCATATGCTTCAAGAAACAAGCGCCTGAGATTGCTATGAGAAACAACCCGTTGCTGTCCCTCGGCAAGCCCTGTGAGGCAGTATCTTCTGTGGAAGCAGGGAGAAGAGAAGTGCCTTGGAGATAGTAGCGGAGTCATTTTTGCTTACTTGAGACAAGTAGGATAAACCTCGGTGCTCCTGGCTATGTTCAGTGAGTAGGTTGGTCTTCTCACTTTCTTGCCTAGGCAATTTCATCATGCTTACTGTAAATCTCGTAGCGTTTCTCCACAGCCACAAGACCAGGGAGTCTTTGTGCCCAGGAGTTGCTGGGCAGGTATTCCTTTGTGACTGGGCACCATGCTGATAAGAAATACGACTATGTGGTTGATGGCTTCCAGAGGCGTTTGCTGACTGTTTTCATCCTCCTCTTTGCGTATCTGGGGACAGCTGCGATTTTTAACAGCAGATGACCAGATCAGCAGATGGCTCAGAGGTGGAGAGAGACCTTCTTCTGGTTGGCATTTCCAGACCAGATCCTTTGGCCATCATTCCAGCAGCCAGGGTTCCTCCAACAGTTCCCTTGCCCCCCTCCCCTCCCCCTCCGTAGGTTCTCCAGTGTGGCTGTTCAGTAACAGCAGAACTTCAGCCACCTCAGTGTCCTGGCTAGGGCGCAAGTGATCCAATGTGGAAAAAATGTGGTTACTCAATTCTTTTCTCAAAACAAGATGTTCTCTCTGTGTAAGCCTGTTCTCTTTCTAATCATGCTGTCTCCTCCTCCCTTCCTACCTTCTGGCCATTCGTGTGCAAATGGTAAAAATTCAAAGTAATATGAGATTGTTTCTTGCTCTCAGCAAATAGGAAAAAACACCGATTTTATTCAGTGTTTTTTACATGCGTTATTTCACTTTATATTCCTGGTAACTCTCAACTAGGCATAATTATTTTCAGATACATTTTATTTTTGAGAAAAATAAATTTCAGAGGATTAAGTGACTTAGTTCTGTTGATATTTGAGTCTAGAGGGAGAAGTCATGGAGATCTTCCAGTAGGACCAGCTGTCAAGGCCATTTAGAGCCATATTGCCTTCACACATGTCCCCCCTGTACTCTCCCCATTCTCCTTCAGGCTTTCTTCAAAGCTTCGTTTGAGACCCTGGATTTTGGCTTCCAGATCCTGATACGAAATAGGAAAGAAGCAGTGTTGGGGAGTATCAGAGCTTTGAACGAGGGTCTAGTCCCAGCTGGGCCACAAACTTCTGTCTGTGAGCAAGTGATTCCTAATGAGAGGTTGAACTAGGTGACCCTCGATGGCCCTCCCACCCTTGTGATACTGTCCATTCCTGCTCCTGGGGATGGGTAACAAGGGACCCCTGTGACTGTCTCCTGCTCGATTCTGGGTCCGGCTCACCTACCACTTTGCTCTGCCCTCCAGCCACCTAGGGCTCTGCCTCTCTCAGGGACTCCTGCACCCTGGCCGTTTTCTCCTCTGCTAAGAGGTAGTAATCCTTTTTAGCTCTTAAACTCCTGGCGCCCAGCCAACTCTCATAAGAGCAAATACAAAGCTTACAGCTAATCCAGGGTACTTGGTTATAAAAGGCAAGCGTTGTTTTTGTTTTTTAAGCTCATCACTTTTTTTGTGTGTGACTTAACATAAAACTGAAACAGGCAAGTTTTACTTTTTAAACTTTAAAAAACAGAGAGTTCGGTCCATTTGGCTCGACTGTAACGCTTAACTAGGCTCCTCACCATCCTGACATGCACACTGATTTCAATCTGGGTGAGCCCATTTTAGATTACAGTTTAGCTTCCTATGCAACTTTTACAGTAGGAAGAGAATGTGAGCTGTGAGCTACCGCGCATTTACGTTTTTATTATAAATTAATATGTTGCTGTCTGGATTATATTCCCAAGTTCTTGTGACTTCATAGAGTGTAACTGGGTCTGGCTGCTCTCAATATGCTGAT